TCGTATACAGTCTCAATGTGCTGGATTTGGGGTGGAACCCTCCATGCATGGTTAGTAGCTAAATTTTTTATTATTTTGTGAAGAATCAACAATAAGTGGAACACAATCATGAGGTGGAACAGAATTTATTCTGTTCCACCTCACTTTTTAAATAAAAAAAACAGCAAAGTGGGGCGTGCAATATTATTGGGCTCCTTTACTTTCAATGCAGCAAACTCACTCCAGAAGTTCAGTGAAGATCTCTGAATGATCCAGTGTTGTCCTAAGTGACTGATGATGATAAGTAGAATCCACTTGTGTGTAATCAAGTCCCCGTATAAATGTACCTGCTCTGTGATGGTCTCAGGGCTGTTTTTAAAGTGCAGAGAGCATCGTGAAGACCAAGGAACACACCAGGCAGGTCCCAGATACTGTTGTGGAGACGTTTAAAGTCAGATTTGCTACAAAGACAGTTCGGCTGTCAATATATCACCAAGGCTGAAATCTGCACTTGGGAGACAGTGGCTCCTCAGGACAACAGTCTGGTGCAGCAGGGTGCAAGAAGCAACAGTAAAAAAAAAAAAAATCTCTGAGTGTTTTTGCAGAGATTAAGAACTGTGCCAATCTTTGCCTAAGGGAAATCTGGCTTAACAGCAACATGCCAGACTCAGCCTTCCAGATCAACGGTCTTCAGCTATTCCGAGCGGACCGTGACCAACGGTCAGGAAAAACAAGGGGAGGAGGACTCTGCATGTATGTGAATGAAGGTTGGTCTACGAACTGTGGACTGGTTAAAAGCTGCTGCTCTGAGGCGATGGAACTCATGACAGAGAAATGTCGGCCGTACTATCTGCCTCGGCAGTTTCCTGCGGCATTTGTCACCATTGTTTACATCCCTCTGGATGCTAACAGCAACGAAGCATCAAAGGAGCTACATGACACCATTAGCTCGCTGCAGATGAAGCACCTGGAGGTGTTTTACATGGTTGCGGGGGACTTTAACCACGTGAAACTGACGGACACTGCACAGTTTTTACCAGCATGTCACCTTCCCCACACGGGGAGACAACACTCTGGACTGTGTGTACACCAACATTCACGGCGCATACAGAGCTCTTCCTCGCCCCCATCTTGGCCTCTCTGACCATATCTCCATCCTGCTGGCACCAGCATATCGTCCACTGACGAGACGGATTACACCAATGAAGAAGACAGTCACTGTGTGGCCCAGAGATGCAGCCACAAGATTGGCAGGTCTTCAGAGAGAGGGAGAGGTGGACCTGGAGGAATACACCTCCCTGTTCTTGGCTTCATCTCCAAGTGTGCTGATGATGTCGCCACCACCAGGACTGTAACCTGTTACCCGAACCAGAAACCCTGGCTGAGTGGTGAAATGAGAGCTTCTGAAAGCCAGGGATGCTGCGTTCAGGACAGGCGAGGCATCAGCACTCCGAGAAGTGAAGAAAGAACTGGCTGCAGGGATTGAGGGCCAAAGCCACATACACCCAGAAAATTCAAGGTCACTTCACCACCAACAATCCCCGCTGCATCTGAAAGGGCATCAAGACAAATTTCTCTTCAGAGCAACTAACGGAGTGTTTTGCCTCATTGCACGAATTAAAATTCAGCTCCGTGTATTTCTATTTGCCATTTTCCCTCACTTACATCGTACATGTTGCTGTATTAAACATTTGTTCGTCCATGTTGCTGGCTACAGAGGAAGAGTTGCTGACAGATGCAGGTTTGCTAGCAAAGGCTAATGCACGAGTTGTATGTCTGAGAATGTCGAAAGTTGTGCACTCTTCAGCCTTAAGAAAAATCTTGTGCCTAACCAGATGATTTCTCAAGTACCCATCCCCAATTCTGTTAGATCTGTAACTGCATAATAATAAAAAATGTAAAAATGTATGCAAAATCTATAAAAGAAAGCGGGAAAAAAATTTTTTAAGCATAAACTTTCTTTTAAGTTTTTTTTTATATTGTCTCATTCTTGTGACCTCAATATTTCATCTCTTCTTGCTATGCGTTGTTACACCCCTTATCGTAACAGTTATGAACTCACCATCTCATCAGCCTGTATCCGCCTGCCCATCACACGTAGGACACTGAGAAAAAATAACACCATATCTTATATTTCTAACACAATGTGGAAAATGTTTTTTTTTTTCTGAGAAACTAAAAATTGTAAAAATGTATTAATACTTAATAGTAACAGCAATCACAAGCTGAATATGCATTTGTAACTTGCTCCATTATGTTTTACCTCTGCTGGAGTCTTTCTTTCTCTTCCTCGAGCTTCTGTAGTCTTCCCCATTTCTCAGAGTATCTATAGAGACGAGTACAATCAAGAGCTCCTGTCAAACACTAGTTTGGCATTATATATACAAAATACACAAATATATAACTATATACACATATATACCCATCAGTGACATGCGGTGAGGTTCATAGCTGGTGAGGTTCATAGCTGGTGAATCACTGATTTAATCATAATCAAATTTACAAATATATAATCCCTGCATGTTAATGTTTACATTGGGAAATTTCGCACATCCATAGCTGCGCTGCTGTGGTAGAACAATTCCATTAACTCAATGAAACTTGGAAATATAGGTATTATTATTAATACAGAAGAACTTGTCCCACAAACTTGAGCAACCAAAATGTGACGCTTATTAAAAACTCAAAAGACACGAAATGGAAGAGCTACTAAAGCCACATTAGCAGCATTGAATTAAATCTCCCGTTTGCTGCGCATCTCTGCGTAGTGCAGCAGATTACCTCGTCATGCAGGGCCGGTCCAAGGCTGTATGAGACCTTGAGCAAAATTTGACTTAGGGGCCCCTTTTGTTACTAAAAACATCAGCACCACTAAATGCTTCTGTGTTAGATTTAATCTGGGAGAAGGGAATAGTTTAATTGGCCAACCTAAAAACAATCAATTATAACTGCAGTTTAGTAATTAGTATTTGTGAACAAACAGAGCACAAACACAGATTATACTCACAGCATCATATTGTTGCTGTGGTAAAAAAAACAAAAAACAATCTAACTATGAATATTGTTTTTTGAACTTTTACAAAGTATACTTGCCAGCTCCTTAAAATCTTACATTTAAATGTTAAGCAATTTAAAATCTTTTAATTAGTGTATGCTGAAACCATTAAATCAAATTTAGCAGCATTGATAATCTCAATAAACAAATGTTTTATTTATCTGTGGTCTGTGATAAAATATTAGCATTTATGGGCTCCCGAAGTCCTGGGGGGTCTGATGAAACCATTGACTTAATTTGGATTAACCAATTTTAAATTGATTTCTTGTCTTGCTGTTTTTAAGACTAGTTGTGGGTTTAAATAGCATTTCACTGGGAATGTTTTCCCATAACATATAATTATCTTATGGGAAATTACTGGGTAATTACCCAGTAATATTTTTACATATCCTGTCTACTTAACATTTTTTAATACAAAAACACGGTGGACCGCCTCGGTGCCCTGACCACCGGGCTTTGCAAGTTTTCTGGGGGAAACCCTGGCAATTTGCCCCTCAAAAGAGCTACTAATAAATTGCTTTAATATTGATGAAAATAAATGCTTATTCTGTGAAAGTGACATAGGAACAATAGACCATGTCT